AAACATCGCCTGCCTTCGGGGTGACAAGAAAAGAATGCAGCAGGGTTTTCTCTGGGATTTGGGGGTTTGGGGTTGCCTGGTGGTCAGAGCCACGTGCAGCTGCAGGTGGTCCTGGCACATCCCTGGTGGGCAGCAGTGCTGGGCACGGTCCTGGGGCCAGCCCAGTCCATGGCCCGTGCCCGAGGTTCCTACGTCTGCCTCGGGAGCAGCCTCGGGAAAAGCAGAACAAATGGCTGGCAGGAGAGGTGGCTCATGAATTTCCCTATTGATTTTGCTGGGTTTGAATTAGTTTCTTGCACTGAGCAAACCCACCCTCCCTCATGTGCACCGTGTGAGCCCATGAAGGGAATATTTGGAATAAAAGGCTGAGCAGCCCTGCTGCAGCTCCAGGGATCCTGCTGAACGGAGTGCTGCTGCTCCTCTGTGCATCTTCCAGGGAAGGGTTTCTGGATCCATTTAAACCCAACTGCTATTTGACCCAGAAGTGGTGTTGCATTAAATCCCACATATATTTCATCCTGATTTCCCTGATTCCATCCTTTTAATGAAAAGCTGGCAGGTGTTTGATATTTATACACTGGCATTGCAGAGCCTCTGAGCATAGCTTTGTGGAAGTGGCTGTGCCAGGGAAATCTGGACTGCAGCTCCAGAGGCAGGGCTTGGAGAGTCCCCCAGAAGCTTGGATGGGAGTGTGGGATGGGATGGGGATGGGGCTGTGCCACTGCTGCCAGGCTGGGGCAGGGCAGGAGGGAGGAGGGGTGGTGGGAGCACAGCGAGCTCGGGGTCCGGCCACCCCGGGACCCCTGGTGTGCTCAGCCAGCGGCCACCCCTCATCCTCATCCTCATCCTCATCCTCATCCTCATCCTCATCCTCATCCTCATCCTCATCCTCATCCTCATCCTCCTCATCCTCATCCTCATCCTCATCCTCATCCTCATCCTCATCCTCAATCTCCTTTTACCAGGGCAGCAAAGGCCCTCGGGGGCTGCTTTTGGGGAATGAGGAGAGGACCCCTCCTCAACGGCACCCTGCTGGAAAATACAGAGTAAATCACACCTGCCAGTGCTTCTCCTTCAAACAAAAATGAGCTGGAGCTGGAGTTGACTTAGGATATAGATCTCTATCCTCTCAGTCATTCCTGTGCTAGTTTTTCATAAACTTGGCTGCTTCTCGTTTGCCCTCTAATAATTCTCCGAAGGCTCATTTCCCCTGTATAACTCTGTGCAAACACAAAGTTGAGGAAAGGGTATTTAGACTCATCCTCCAGGAATGCTGTTGTTGAGGAAATGCTTGTTTACCTACGTCAGTAATTTCCAAGAATATAATGTGCATTTGAAGATCAAATGTGAAAACTCCAGCATTTGGATGAGTTGAAGCTCCCGTGGAATTGCAGTCTGGCTGCTCCCAGCTGGCTCTTCACCCCAGATTATCAAAGCCATGGAAAAGCAAGGGATTGCCGGCTCCAGCAGTGGGAGGGTGAGCCCTGAACCCCTCCATTGGTGAAGCCTTTGTGGCATTTTTATTCATGAGTGAGAAGGCACCTGATAATTCTGTGATTAGGTGTTCCCTGGTAAGTGAAGATAAATGTGATCAACGGCAGGAACCATTACATGTTCCCTACAATGCAAGTTACCTTGCTACAGATTTTCTTCTATGTGATTTCTTATTTTTCATGTAGGCAAAGAGGAAAATATTTGTAAAATCTCATCATTTTTTTTAGAGTGTATTTACTAAGATTACAAAAGAGTAACTCACTGATGAGATGCTTGGCACACATCACACTCTCCCATCTTTCCCTGCAATGTCATCTTGAGCCATTTCCCTGCAATGTCATCAATTACATCTTAAAATCCCAGAATGGTTGGGGTGGAAGGGACCTTAAAGCTCATCCTGTTCCACCCCTGGCATGGGCAGGGACACCTCCCACTTGGCAGTTCCAGTTTGCAGAGGTGGACGGCCCTGAGGAGAACACCCTGCCCTGGTGCCCTGGTACAGCACCAGGTGGGGTGTAAGTGGTTGGGAGGGAGCGAGGCAGAGGGAGACACCCCCAGCCTGGGACTCTGGGATCTGGGACTCTGGGATCTGGGTCATGGTGGCAGGATCATTCCTAATTCCTGCAGCTGGAGGAGGGCCTGAGGTGATCGATGCAGGAGCAGGACGTGCTCCGCGCGCTCTGCAGCCAGGCAGGTGCACAGAGCCGCAGGGCTGTCCCCGGGAGCGTGGCAGGGACAGGAATGTGCAGGCTGCTGCCAGCAGGCAAGAAAGAAATCCTGCTCTGTGCTCAGCCTGGCGCAGCCCGGGCACTGCGAGGCCCCTGCAGGCAGTGCCAGGGGATGGCTGTGCCCGGCACATCCACCTGCTGCTGCACTGCCTGGCCCCGTGTCCTCCTGTCCCCCTGCTCCCCTGCCACCCTGTGTCCTTGTCCCCCTGCTCCCCTGCCACCCTGTGTCCTTGTCACCCTGTCACCCTGTCCCCTGTTCTCCCTCTTCCCCTGTTCCCCTGCCCCCTTGTCACTGTGTATCCCTGTCCCTCTGCTACCCTGTGCCCTTGTCACCGTGTCCCCATGTCACTGTGTCTCACTGTCCCCCCTGTCCCCCTGTTCCCCTGTACCCCCCTCACTGTGTCCCCCAGTCCCCCTGTCCCCCTGTCCCCTTGTCCCCTTGTCACCATGTCCCCATGTCAGTGTCTCACTGTCCACCTGTACCCCCTGTTCCCCTGTCCCCTTGTCCCCTTGTACTCTGTCCCTTTATCCCCCGTCCCCCATCCCGTCCCCTGCCCCGTGGCTCGGGCACAGGTGCCACCTTGGGCACACCTGCGGAGGGGCTGGGTGCCAGGTGGGCGCTGCCCGCTGGCTCTCAGGTGTGCTGTGGGGGCTGCAGAGGGTGGGAGGGTGCCCGCACAGCCCCTGCCCTGTGCCCCGTGCCCACCCTGCCCCGTCCCTTTCCTGTGCCCCCTGGCCTCCTGCCCCACGCCCCGGCCATGCAGGTGCCCACGCCACGGCGAGCTGCCCGAGCCCCGCCGGGGGCTGCCCCATGCCGTGCCCTGGCTCGCTGACCCCCAGGCTGGGGAGGGGGCCCCGAGGTGCCCGGCAGCAGGGACGGGCCGGACACAGCAGCAGCTGGCACTGGGGAGGAAAGTTTGTAAAGAAAGTACTGAACACAGACTTCCCGGGGTATCAGAAGGAAAATTTATGCATCGCCTTTGAGTTCAACTTCTCCATTAAAGCTTTTTCCCTATAATCTAGGGAGTTCTTATCTTGGTGACTTATGATGTTATGGAGGGGCTCATGCATGGAAAATGTCAATAGAAATAGTAACTCTAGAAGGGAAGGGCCTCCTAATTAGTCCCCATTTAGATTTTATGATGGCTTTGAGATCTGCTCATCCTGACAGTGCGCACTCTGGTTACATATTGTTCTAGCCTGAGGGAACCATAGGAAAATCCAGATTTATTGTACCTATCATACCAGCATATTTCATTTGCCATTATGAGCAGCCATCTCGCAATGATGCAGGAGTATTTATTACAGATTAAATTGTAGGACCTGGATGGTTTAGTGAGGTTCTTGAGGTATCATTTATGTCATTAACTGGCTCATTATCAGATCTGCAAATCTCAATTCCTTTTTTTGTGCCTTCTGTTTCCGAGCAGGGACCTGGGCTGGGCTCAGGCAGGTCCCAGGGCGCGTGTGAGGCTGGGGCATGCAGGGAGAGCATCCCTGGGGTGCTGGAGCCGGGGCTGCTCCGGGTCCCTGGGCGATCACCAGCTCCACAGAGAGCCACCACGGCCGCCCCGAGCGCTGTCACCTCCTCTGCCGCTGTCCCCACCCCATCCCTCTCCATTAAAGCACAGCCCAGAGAGGTGAGCTGGGAAAGGCAGTGGTAGGAGAGCAGGTAATTTAACTCTAATTATTTAACAAGTCTGTGCCAGGCGTAAGCTTATTACCAGCGGCGAAAGGATACGCGGGATTTTTCCTCCCTCTCTCTCTTTTACGCTTTATCTCTACTTGGAGAATTATTTGAAGAGGTTTAATCCAGCCTTGATTGTTGCTGCTAATGGGCAAGGAGAACGGGTTATTCCATGTGCTCGGCTCTCCAGAAAAGTCATGGGGAAGGAGCTCTCGGACACTGCCTGGCCCTTCGATTTAGTGATATTATTTGAATTTATTGTTCGATGCGACTCGCGTGTCCTGCCTTGTTGGTATTTGCCCTATTTACTCTCCTATATTGCTTTTTCATAAAACCAGGGGATGGCATTTAAGTTGTTGTGTTCTTTGGTATTAAAAGGCACTCGGAACAAGCCTGGGAGCACATCCTGGATTGTGGGGTTCAGGGCATGCTCTGCTGCAGCTGCCCCACTCTTGGGCTGCTACGATTAATTAATTCCCGTGATGGCCAATATTTGTGGGGAAGAAGAAGCCTGGGAGGACAGAAATAATGCGTAGAAATGCCACCTCCTCTGTCCCCAGGCAAAGGCTGTGAGGGGGTTGGCGGGGGCCGGCTGCACCCCGAGTTTCTGCAGCGGACCAGGCGGTGCTGGGGCTCCGCTGCGGTGGCGGCGCAAGGATGGATCCGGGCTCTGCCCTCCCTGGGCTGCTCCCCTGCCCCACGGGTGCTCCACGGGCACCCCACGGGTGCTCCACGGGTGCCCCACGGGTGCCCCACGGGTGCCCCATGGGTGCCCCATGGCATCGCCCCCACGGGAGGTGTGGGGGAGCCCAGCCCCGGGGCCCGGCTCACTGCCAAAATCTGGGGTGGGCACCTAAATATTCCCCTGAGACGGGGCCAGAGACAGCCCAGGGAGGCTCCTGGGCTGGGCCCTCTTGGGGGTCTCTCCCTGCCCAGGAGCTTCCCCAAAACTCCCGAACATTCCCTGTGGGTGCAGGCACATGACCTCCAAATAAATCCAGAACGCCTTGTGGAGATCCGTGAAAATGAATGCTTCCCAGTGCTTGGTGCTCTGCCCTGGTTTTAATTATTTTATTTATTTATTTTACTGAACACTTTGCACCTGTCTTGGAAGCAGAGCTGTCTGCTCCAGGGTTAAACTCACAGCAGGTTGAAAATAGAAGGTGTGTGAGCATTTACACTGTGCTTCTCCTTGAAAAGCATCAGGATCATGTGAGATTTAAAAATGTTTAAATGAGAGGCTTCTCGCTGTAATTTACACACATCCCATTTTATTTATTTTATTATTTTATTTTATTTTATTTTATTTTATTTTATTTTATTTTATTTTATATTGCATTTTCCTTTATCAGCCAAGAAAATAGGGGACATTTATAAACTAAAAGGAGAAGAATTGTTGGGTATTTATCTCGAATCAGTCTTCCAACATCTGCCTTCAGTGTGCACACGGCTGAGGAAATCCTGCGTGGGAATGGCAGCAGAAGTGGCAGTGTGTGTGTGTCCCACTCTGTTTTCTGCAGGGCCACCAGGAAATTCAGTGTTTTGTGAAGCCTACAGCTGCAGCAGCCAGCAAAGCGTCGCCGGGCAGGGATGGCTTGGACATCGTTCAGCTACTCCTGCGCTGGGTGTTCGAAATTGGAAATGGAGTGCGATTAATAAAAAGAAATAATTAAGCGCCTTTGCCTGAGCTGATAGCAAATGACGGAATTTCGGCTGCAGGAGCCGCCTCCCCAGGCTGGGTGCCGGGGTGCCCCTGGGCGAGCAGGGATCTGCCGGGGCCGGGGCTGGGCCGCTGGGGAGGATGCCTCGCCAGGCTCGGTCCTTGCCGGTAAGCGGAATATTGAGCTGCTCGTTCGTCTCCATCCCCGCTTTGGGCTGGGCCGGGCTGCTCCGGCAGCAGTGCCTGGGTTGCCGTAGGAACGAGGAATTCAAGTAAATATGCTCAGGAAGGAGAAAGGTCTACTAATTAAATGTGAGTAGCATTGATAAAGGGCCAGGGCTGGGGAAAGGTAGAACGTGATGGCCTTCCTTGTAATTCACTAGAAAATACGTTTGTATCTATCTATATCTAATATATCTATCTATCTATATCTATATCTATATCTATATCTATATCTATATCTATATCTATATCTCTACATCTATACATCTGTATCTACATCTACATCTGTATATATGTTATATATATGGATATTATTATAGAAATAATATAGAAAATACATATGCATGTATGTATCTGTATACCTAGAAAAAAATAAATGGATAATAATATAGACAATACATATCTGTATATTTCTCTATATAATATATATGGATACAATATAAAAATAAATATATACGTGTATATATATAAAAGAATAAAAAATATATGTGAGAGGTTTACAAGACTTATAAATGATGCATATGCCTCTTCATGGGAGAAGTACATACATTGAAGATGACAGCAACATTTTTATATAGAAGTGACACTTTATACCTTTTTTTCCTTTTGAGGCTGTAAATTCCGTGATCTTCTCTGAGCCCGTCCATGGCTTGCACGCGGCAGGGGAAGGCGTCCCCTGCCTCTGTGGCTGCTGGGCCCCGAGTCTCCAGCACCCACCTCGCCCGGCCGGGGCACATTTTCCATGGCAAGGTGCCCCACTTGGTGCCTCAGTTTACCCCGGGGGCAAATGGAGTAATCAAACTTCTGACCTCGCACTTCTTCTTTGTTTGCTCCTCAGCTGATTTCCCATTTTTATCCCAGGCGTAAATCAAGCCCAGCTGGACCCCGCAGGCGCTGGGGTTTGGTGCCAAGCACAGCTGCGGGGCAGGGATGCTGGCATTCGGCATCTCCCAAAAACGTCCTTCCAAACCAAACGAACAGCGAACGCGGGCAATTAACGGCACATGGAGAAACACTAATGATGTTACAGGTGGGGAAACTGAGGCAGGGAAGGAGCTGCAGATTTCACGTGAAAGCCGCGGAGATGTGGCACCTGGGGGCACGGGTCAGGGGTGAGCCCGATGGGCCTAGAGGGCTTTTCCTACCCAAATAATTCCCTGATTCTGTGGTAAAATCTTTAATTAATATTGGCAAATCGTTAGCTTCCCCTCCCGGAGTGCCAGGACCCGCTGGCTCTGCTGAGTGCAGGGTCACAGGAGGGGGACTCGGGGCTCGTTTCTGTCCCTGTCCCCAGCCCAGCGGCCCCGGCCCTGCCCCTGCCGGGGGTCGCAGAGCCGGGGGGTCCCTGCCGGGGGTCACAGAGCCGGGGGGTCCCTGCCGGGGGTCACAGAGCCGGAGGGTCCCTGACAGGGCTCACAGAGCCGGAGGGTCCCTGACGGGGGTCACAGAGCCGGGGGGTCCCTGACAGGGCTCACAGAGCCGGGGGGTCCCTGCCGGGGGTCACAGAGCCGGGGGGTCCCTGGTGGGGTCGCAGAGCCGGGGGGTCCCTGACAGGGGTCACAGAGCCGGAGGGTCCCTGGTGGGGTCGCAGAGCCGGAGGGTCCCTGGTGGGGTCACAGAGCCGTGGGGTCCCTGCCGGGGGTCACAGAGCAGGAGGGTCCCTGCCGGGGGTCGCAGAGCCGGGGGGTCCCTGCCGGGGGTCACAGAGCAGGAGGGTCCCTGGTGGGGTCACAGAGCCGGGGGGTCCCTGCCGGGGGTCACAGAGCAGGAGGGTCCCTGACAGGGCTCACAGAGCCGGAGGGTCCCTGGTGGGGTCGCAGAGCCGGGGGGTCCCTGACAGGGCTCACAGAGCCGGGGGGTCCCTGACTGGGCTCACAGAGCCGGGGGGTCCCTGGTGGGGTCACAGAGCCGGGGGGTCCCTGACAGGGCTCACAGAGCTGGAGGGTCCCTGACTGGGGTCACAGAGCCGGAGGGTCCCTGACAGGGGTCGCAGAGCCTGAGGGTCCCTGCCGGGGGTCGCAGAGCCGGGGGGTCCCTGGTGGGGCTCACAGAGCCGGGGGGTCCCTGCCGGGGGTCACAGAGCCGGAGGGTCCCTGACGGGGGTCGCAGAGCCGGGGGGTCCCTGGTGGGGTCACAGAGCCGGAGGGTCCCTGACAGGGCTCACAGAGCTGGAGGGTCCCTGACTGGGGTCACAGAGCCGGAGGGTCCCTGACAGGGGTCGCAGAGCCTGAGGGTCCCTGCCGGGGCTCCTGCGGGAGCATCCCCGGCCCTCGAGGCGGCTTTCGCTGAATTCCTGCCGGCTGTGCAGCTGCTGTTCCGCCGGGCAGCGGCTCCCGGCGGGGCAGGACGAGGTGTCTTCATCTGCATAAGCTCGTGCACTCTGCACTCGTCTCATTCTCATTTTTAATTACAGTTCAAGGACTAAATCCATCTCAGTCAGGCTTGTGCTCAGCTGGGATAAATCCAGGAGGGTCCCAGATTTACAGCAGGGTGTGCCTGCTCTCCTGATGCTCCTGGGGGCTTTTTGCACTTCCTGCTGGCTGCATTTTCACACTTGCCTTGGCTGCTACCCTTGGCCACGTCGCTGGGGGAGCAGGGCTCTGGGCAGGGCTCAGAGAGCTTCACTGGCAGAGGAGTTCTGGGCTCTGCTGCTCAGTGCTGGGGCCCCTGTAGTGCTGTCACCCTTTTTGTGCTGTCACCCCTTTAGTGTTGTCACCCCTGTAGTGCTGTCACCCTTTTTGCGCTGTCACCCCTGTGGTTCTGCACCCCTGTAATTCTGTCACCCCTTTAGTTCTGTCACCCTTTTAGTTCTGTTACCCCTGTGGTTCTGTCACCCCTTTAGTTCTGTCACCCTTTTAGTTCTGTCACCCCTGTGGTTCTGTCACCCTTTCAGTGCTCTCTCCTTCTGTCCATCCATGCCTTGGCTCCTCCTGCCCCACCAGGGCTGAACCCAAAGCCTGTGGTTCCCCCCTGAGCCTGGGGTGCCAGAGCTGGGCTGATGTGCGGGCACCATGTCCCCCAGGCACCCTGGGGCGCTGCTGCCTGCTCCACTGGCCAGGAAGGACCCATGGTGTGAGGAGAAGCAAAGCTGGGATGCTCCAGCTGTCTGCAGGAGCTGGTGGCCCCAGCCCTGGGGAAGTGCCATCATCCCCTCGGTGCTGGGGTCAGTCCCTGCCCCTGCCCAGGGGCTCAGCCCTGCGCTGTGCCTGGACAGGGCTGGTCAGAGGAGCAGTGCCCAGCCCATGAAGTGGCCACAGGACAGGGCCACCGGCTCTGACTGACCCAGCTGCAGCTCTGTCCCCTTCTCCTGCCATCAGTGCCCCGTGGGGACAGCCCTGGTGGGCAGCAGGACACCACAGCCACCGTGCCACACCCTGTCCCTGCCGTGGGCACCAGCACAAGGCCCGGGCAGCATCCAGCAGATCTCCGTGGCATGGAAAAGTGCCTGGGAGAGAGACAGGCTGCTCTCAGTGCCCCCGAGCATTTACAATTTATATGTCCTTGTCAGACGGGGAGTTTGATAACTCTAATGTCATGTTTGTCCTTCACCTGGAGAAAATCCCCTTTAAAGATCACCAGCCCGGCTCTGTTGACAGGAACTGTGCAGGTCACGCCTTAACTTGTGCGGGATCACTCCAAAATGCAGATCTTTATCTTGACTGAAAAAAGAAGGAGAGAAGAGCCCCAGATCCTGTGATTCCCAGATGGGATGGGGCCCAGGGCAGGTCTGGCTCTGGAGTGGAGCTGGGTGAACTTGAGGATGCAGCAGCCCCGTGGTGCCAGAGCCTGGATGGCTGCTCCAGCAGAACCAGGGTGTCTTGGGCAGGATTTCTTTCTATTTCTGGCAAAGCCTTTTGAAATGTAAATATTTCCATGCCCTGTCTGGACACTTCTGCTCATCCCAGGAATCCTGCGCACACAGCTCCCAGAAAGCCGTGTTAGAGGAGGAGGAACGGATCCCTGGGGCAGACCCTGTGGAGCAGCAGCACGCCTGGGTCTGGTGGCATGCCCACCTCCTTCCCCCTGATCTGGCATCCAGGAGCCCTTCCCTGCCTGCCTGCAGCTCTGCCTGGCCCAGCCCTGCCCAGCGTGGGCTGGGGACGCTGGGGACGCTGGGGATGCTGGGGACACTGGGGGCACTGGGGACACTGGGGACACTGGGGACACTGGGGACGTTGGGGGCACTGGGGATGCTGGGGACACTGGGGACCCTGGGGATGCTGGGGACGCTGGGGATGCTGGGGACACTGGGGACGCTGGGGATGCTGGGGACGTTGGGGGCACTGGGGATGCTGGGGACACTGGGGGCACTGGGGACACTGGGGATGCTGGGGACGCTGGGGACGTTGGGGGCACTGGGGACACTGCTGGTGTGGCTGTGATGGGCAGGAGCTGTGGCTCTCCTGAGAGCTGGGAGTTTCTGGAGAGCCCGAGCTGGGAGGTGGGGATGGGAGCCTTGCTCCTCTCTGGGCCAGAGGCACTGCCAGCCCCAGCAGCCGGAGCTGGTGTGCCCAGGACAATCACCCGGGCACGCAGGCTGGGTGCCTCTGGAGGGGCAGGGAGCCAGGTGAGCCCCAGGGGTGCAGCTGCGCTCCCCAGCCCCGGCAGCGAGCCCGTGCTGGGGCTGAGCCAGGAGAGGAGATCCCTCGGGAGTTTATGAACCAAACCCCCGTGTGCACGTCACACCACGCACTGATTGCATTTTAAAGCTGGATTCAGCCTCAAACATAAGGGAAAACAAAGCACCCACAAGGGTCTGAGCCTGAGCTGGCCCCCTGGGAAGAGGAGGGGTGTGATGCTGGCTTTGGGCACCCAGAGAGCACAGGCTGTGCCCAGGGCACATGTGGGACTCCCGTTAATTTAAGGGGAATTATGTGAATTGTACAGCATGGCTTGACTATACTCCTGAGTATTGAAGTTATTATGTTTACCATCAATATTCATGAAGGTTCCTTAAAAAAAAAAAAGCAGCAGGGAAATTTTGCTGTGAACCAGAGAACTGCCACTTCTGGGAGTGCCTGCAGAAGCAGTGTGTATTTCCCAATTTATTTGTCCTCTATTTTTCTGAGAGTGTTGCCTGGCCTTCTGAGAAGAGTTGTTGAAAAAAACAAATTGTGCTGATGCACTTCATTTTACAAGGGTCCGGAGGGACCAGACAGGGGAATGGCTTCCCCTGATAGAGGAAATAGTTGGAAGGAATATTGGGAGGAAATTCTCAGCTGCGAGGGTGTGCATCCCTGGCACAGGGCTCCCAGAGCAGCTGTGGCTGTACTGGATCCCTGGCAGTGCCCGAGGCCGGGCTGGACACTGGGGCTGGAGCACCTGGGACAGTGGGACAGGGACAGAGGTGTCCCAGCCACGGCAGGGCTGGGATGGGGTGGGCTTTAAGTCCCTTCCAACCAAAACCATTCTGGGATTCTAGGAGCCTACAATCATCATTGCTGTGTTTGGCCTCTTCAGAAAATGGATTTGGTTTGATTTTTAATTTGTTTTGCAGTTTTGCAGCCCAGACATCGCCTTTGCCAAAGGAACTTTAGCCCAGAGAATCTTAGGAAATCCGGGTTCTCCCTGTGCAGCTCTTGTCTGGGCGGATGCTCCAGTACAAGCGGTGTCCAGTTTGAAAGGACAGAATTCCGAGGGTTTTTCCCTGTTCCTGCGGCACGGGTATCTGGTCTGTTACAGGTGTGACAGTGCCAGGCACGGCCCCATCGCAGGCAGGGGAGAGAGGGGAGAGAGGGGAGAGATGGGAGAGAGGGGAGAGAGGGGAGAGAGGGGAGAGAGGGGAGAGAGGGGAGAGAGAGGAGATGGGAGAGAGGGGAGGGAGGGCAGCGGGGCCAGCGGGGCCAGCGGGGCAGCGGCACCGGGCGCAGCCGGGCAGCAAAGGAGGAGGTGCCCGTCCCGCTGCGGTGCCCGTGCCCGGCCGGG